GGGAGCCTTTAGGATATTTAGGCTGATTTCTCTCCATACGTGAAAGGAAAAAAACACATCCCACAAAAATAACAATTTAAATGGCTACCAATTTGCTGCCTTTCATGACACCTAAAATCTGCTGGTTGAGGCAGCTGCTTTGCTCTGTCTAATGGTAGGACCTGCCCTGTGCAGCAGGAATGACTCCATTTTGGTAATCTAAGGGCCATTGCAGACCAAAGGGCTGGCCTGGGGTGGAGCTGGGCAGGGCAGACGCACACCGGCAGCCCCAACCCCACCTCAGTGCTGTCCTGACGCTGCGTGCCCATATGCATGGTGAGCAGCATCAGGATGCCCTACGGGTGCAGTATGTAGACACGCTGCGCCAAAAGGGTGTGGAAGAGCCGCAGCACCAGCTTTTAGGGCGGTCTTTCGTTGTTTCTAAAAGGAGCAGCATTTTGACGCTCTTTTGGGGGTGGTAAAAGGGAGGATCAGGGCTGCAGCATGGGGTTGTCACGGCCACGATCTGCCGCTAGCAGTGGCGGTCCAGAGCCGCCCGAAACGGGCCATCCGTACAGGCCCTAAATGTGTTTTTGCAGCTTACAGAAGGCAGCAAGCTAGGTTTGAACCACCCACAATGGAAAATGTTGATTTCTACAGTGGATAAGCATTGTGTCAAACCTATGAGTATCTTTTGCAGAATTTTTGCTCCAATGAATGTTAATTATGGAGAACACTGGTTTTCATGTTCGGTTTTTGTTCTATCAAAACATAAAAATATATAGAGGTGCAGCAAGCCAATATCTTCTTTAGTCCCCATGGGAACAGCTTATTTTTAACTTTTGTTTCAAAATCCATATTCATAAGCTCTCACAAGCTGATCTTCCAGCTTGCTGGCAGGGTTTATTCTGAGAAACACTAACACCTGTACACTAGGTGTTTTTTTTTTAATCCTAAAATCAGCCGAAGAAGGTGAAGGTGGAAAGTGACCTGTACTCACTATTTGGGCTCTAGGTGTACTACATCCCTGCTTTCATTCAAGTTACATCTACTGGTCCTTAAACATTTCCTCCTTGCTATAAACCTATCAGCAACACGAACATGAGTGATTTGGCAAGCACAGTGATTCTATTCCCCTCCTGCTTCTTGTTCCATTTGTTTGTGGTATTAGCATTTTCAATGGGGGAAGTAGGATCTCTGGCCTGTAGTGATGCACTGGAGCAAGATTCACACAGTGCCATGAAGGTGGATGCTCCCTTGGCACAATGTTTCTGCACCTTCACAAGAGAACCACTTAAAAATAAAATAGGATTTGACCGTAAAAAAAAAAAAACCATGAAAAATCAAAGGGGCAAGAGAGATTTGCAGACAGAACACCTCTTGTAGGATTGCCAGTAAAAACTGGAGCGGGCTCCTGTACCCATAATGATTTTGTAGGAGAGGGAATTTCAGCAAATGCTAGCTGAACAACCAACACCTGCAGACATTTCTTCTTCTACACAATCATTTAAGGTACAGGATCCCTTTCCAGTTTTCACACTGGCAACACTACTATGTACGACAGGGCTAGAGTTTCCAGACTAAGAACTGAAAGTAGCTTCTGCACTCTGTGTAGAAGAGGGACTTTGAGCAGGTATTACTAGTCACCTGGTTGCAAGACAAGCAACACTTCCGGAAAGTCCTGCTTTTACACAACCATTACAAATACAGAAGCCATTTCCAATTTTCACTAAGCCAACCCTAATTTAGGGATAGGATTTTAGGGTGTCATGAGAAGGCAACAAATTTAATTAACAAATATGTATATAAAATCTAGTATTTATGGTTGTGATCCAGAATGTGCCTTTTGCTAACACTTGAAAAAGATCCTTCCTTGCAAGGATGTGAAGGATCCATTTTCTCCGTAACACACGTCAGCTCACCAGGGTCCTCAATCAAAAACAGCCTGCAGGACCTGAGCAGAAAGGACAGGGAATCTTGGAGATGTCTCATCCATGGAATCGCCATGGGTCAAAGTTGGCAGTTAACAACAACAACAACAACTATGTAACTTGACTAATGTGGGAATGTGTACCATTTGCCACTTCACCTGAAACAAAACAATGTCTTGGGCAAGCCTTGGTGGGCTTGAACAATAGTGATCTGAGCGGACTTATGCTGCTGGTATACAGTGGACCACTCTGTCCAGGTAGCAGATAGAGCTCTGCTAAAAAATATTTTGAAAAAAGAATAACAAAGAACCATCTTCATATTCTTGCTATGATCCTTAAATCAATATTTCTGCTTGTCTTTACCAAACACTGGCTGGCTAAGGTTGCTGTGTCAGGAAAATTGCAGGCTCTGAGATTTTAGAACCCAAACTCTGAGATCTAGGGGCAGACTCTAGTGATGTTTGAAAGGCAAAGGAGGGAAGGGTCCAAGTAGCCTATAACAGCCACTCCAAGCAGATAGAGCAGCCAGGAAGGGCACCCGTGCCAGCAACTCACGGTATATATATACAGTACACAAACACTTCTCAAGGCACTGGTCTTGAGCTGAGATTCCTCTCTCTCACCCTGAGAACCAAAGAAGAGCCATGAAGCCCCAAGATTTGGGAACCCAATAGCTCCAAATATTTTGCTGCCCAAGATTAAAGGCCATTATGCCCCACTCTTACATATACAAAATCCATATAGATTAGATACAGATATATCTCACACTTTCATATACAGTAGGCCTAGCAGCAAAGAATATTTTAGAGATCAGCAAAGATTAAACTGTTCAAAACAGTCAAAGAGGGATTATCTAAACATTTCTTACCTCACAGACATATTATTTTTCAGCTGGCTTAATTTCACTCTTGCAAACAGTATCAGGATGAAACAATGCTCGATTTTACAATCCTAATTACAGCTATAGTTTGTAATTGACCACAGTGGCGTCATTAAGGGGGTGTGGGTCACACCAGGTGACACTAAGAAGAAGGGTGACACCTGGTTGGACCCTCCTTTCCGTTCCCAGGTGCTCCAGGACACCTGGGATGGAAGAGATGGAGGAGGAATATGCACATGCCCTTGCAGGCTGCTCCATCCTGAGCTTCCTCTGCAAGGGTGCATGTGCACTCCTCCTGCTCCTCTGTCCTGGATTTTTTCCCTGGAGAGGAAGCCTGGGATAGAGCATCCAGGAAGGGCACCCGTGCTCCTCTTCCTCCGGCCGTGGGCTTTCTCTTTGGAGAAAGTGCCCCTCTCTCTGCCCTGTGCCACTTACTTGTGAGCAGAGAGGTGCAGATCAACAAGGTGTAGGGAGTTCCCTTTTTGCCCTGTCCCCAGAAGCTCTGCCCCCTACACCAGGTGATAACCCAGGTGGGGACGCTACTGATTGACCCCCAGGAATAAGAAAACCGGCACAGTCACTGTTTGTTCTCTTAATTCTCTGTCACCGTTTCCCACCCGCCACTATTTGTTGCCTGAAGCAGCTATCTCAATCTAGTGCAAATCCTCATGGCAGGGCCAGCACCGTACTGTGATGGAAAAAATTCATATCAGTTGACTAGATAGCCATACGTGACTAATATCATTTAAAAAATTCATTTTCACTGCAGCATCAAATTTTTCATAAGGCTTCTATGTTCTCATTTTGGAAGTCCAGATCCCTTGTTAACAACATAAAGAGCAAAAGAAAAATGGTCTGTATTGAAAGATGTGGTGCCTGGTAAAATCTTATCAAGATTCAAATAGTTCAGCTAAGAATCTAAGCCTTAAAAGGGTGGTGGGTTTTCTCACAGCTCCACTGAGAAGCCCTGGGAATGTGCTATTATCCATCAGCTTGTCTCATACAAATGGTACCAGGTGTTCTTGGTTCGTTTGTCAAAACTGGAATTTGCACTTTTTCAACACCATCCCCCAATTAATCATGATGCTTGTAAAAATAAATAAATGGGTGCTATGTAATATTTCGGGTGTTTGTATTTCTAAACTTGTTAATATTTTTGTGGCAAAAAAAGAAACAAAAAAAAAAAGATCCTGCAGGCTATGATGTTTAACAGAACACTGAAACTGTGGAATATTGTTTATTATTTCTGATGATCATCATTCTGAAAGCAAATTGTGAAGGAACTGTAAAAATGCAATTAATTTACAAATGCATGAATATTGTTGTGAGTTTTTGGGACCTACCACTAGGCAGATTGAGGTAGGAGACTTGGGCTATAATGAATAGATGGCAAATTGTGGGGAGTTTATCACATGAGGCATGGGGTGTCATTGTCCAGTCCCTGATCCATCCTTCCCACCCAATTGCGGGAAAGACTTTCACATCATTGCCATCATTGATCCAGCAAGGAAGCACCAGTGAAAGTGATAGTGCAAATTCTCTTTCACATGTAAGCACATTGAATCTGTCATTCAGCCTTCTGGAAAGCACCAGTGAAAGTGATCACACAAATCACTTTCTCATAAAAGCGGCTGAAAAGTACTTTCAGCCATCATCTCAAAGCACTTTCTCCTGTCATTTGCAGTCTTTTGTAGTAACAGAAGAACCTGTTAATACCGTGATGACTGAAAGCACTTTTCAGCCCGCTTTCATGTGAAAGTGATTAGCACAATCACTTTCACTAGGGCTACAGACGGGTCACAGACAGAATAAGGATGGGGGAAAGATCCCGTCCCTATCTCATCCCTTGTGTGATAAACTCCTTAGTTATTACTGTATTGTTTTACAGCCAGAGAAATGGAGGGAGGTGTTTGTGGGAATTTTTTTGTGTGTCAGATGCCAAAATAATTACTGTTTGCCTTGGAAAGGGTGCACCATGACTTTGAACCATTTGCTGCTTTGGCTGATGCAGCAAATATCTTTAGTAATCCTTCTGATAGACTCATTATAAAAAGACTCTGATGAAAAGATAAATATTGATAAACAAAAGTGATTTATGGTACTTCTCTTAATTCTTCTGCATGGCCCAGCTTCTCAGATCCTTATACTGTAATTGATTCTTGTCCTTATCTTCAGGAAACATCATGGTCTCTCTCACTTTACTACTTTTTACCAGTGTGATACAGTGGTTTGAGCACTGGACTACAACTCTGGAGCCCAGGGTTCGAATCTCTGCTTGGCCATGGAAACCCACTAGGTGGTCTTTGGCAAGTCACACTTTCTCAGCCTCAGAGGAAGACAAAGGCAACCTTGAACAAACTTTGCCAAGAAAACCCAGTGATAGTGTTATCTTAGGGTTATATAGGTTGGAAACTACTTGAAGGCACGCAACAACCACAATATATCAGTGAATGTTGACCCTTCAGAGTTCGGTCCTCTCATTTGCCAAGTCAATCATGGTTTAGGGATAGGAGATATCTTTGGAGAGTGCCCATATGGAGGTCACTTGCAGCCAAGGCTGGCCCAAGACATGTTGCTGCCTGAGGTCAAAAGGGAATGGTGGCACCTCTCCCATTCTCATGTGCAGTAGACTTGAGCTTGGGAAAGTTACTTTTTTGAACTACAATCCCAGAATTCTGTCATTAGCACATGGGATTCTGGGTCTTTGTAGTCTGAAAGTATTTTTTTTTCAGGTCTGCATTAAACATGAATCCTATTCCATCCAGGTAGCATTTACTGCACCTGAGGGTGACATGGCTCACACAGGCACCACTTTGCCAATCCCTACTAACCCAAACTCGGTCCCTCAGACAGCTGCATCTATCTACCTGATGATATAGCTAGCCCTAGTTGTGCCAGCAACTCTCTCAGAAATACCCTTTCTCTCTTCTGTGCACTGAATTCATAGCCCGTATATCAGTGATGAGGGAATGGCTTGGCAGGGGACTGATTTCATGGAGATTTCATGCTTTTCAAATGACATTTGTTGTTGTTGTGTGCCTTCAAGTCATTTGCGACTTATGGCAACCCTAACGTGACCCTATCACAGGATTTTCTTGGCAAGATTTCTTCGGAGGAGGTTTGCCATTGCCTTCTCCTAAGGTTGAGAGCATGTGACTTGCCCAAGGTCACTCTGTGGGTTTTATGGCCAAGCTGGGAATTGAACCCTGGATATCAGCACTTCTTGCCGGAATGGCTGGATCAGGATTCTGGTATGTTGAGGAGATTGTCTTCGAAAGCCATCTTCTTTCTATTTTTTAAAAAAAGATGGTCCCAAATGCTTCAGAGGACTTTCTTCTTTGTCGAAATAGATTTTTATAGTAACAAAGCTGCAACATACTCAATAGACAGTCACCTCCGCTGCTAATTTTGCTTTTGGAATTCCCATCCTGTAGAGATGAAGAAAACATTTTGAACTGCCAGTATATATCAGCTCCAACCCACATGATCCCCATTCCAGCATTTTCTGATATGATACTGAAAGAGGCTTAGCCTTTTGTAGTGTCAGCCACCTCACTGACACTCTCTTATGCAGAGACATCTCGAAAAGGACGACAGCATGTCAGCTCTCCAGATTAGACATTGACACAACCCTTGATTTGTAAGGGAAGAAATGAATGACTGCATGGCTTTCTGCTTCTAAAATTGTCATTCATACAATATGATGATATTGAGGGCTCAATAGGGTCACCGTGAGTTAGGTGCAGAAATAAAATACATTGACTGAGTTAAATCTGTATGAAATTAAAAATATATGAAAATACTGAAAAGGTCATCTATTCACAAAAAGTTAATCTGATAGTATTTTGAATGACAGTGAACGGTGCGGATGATGAGGATGAATTTGGGAATCGGTGGCACTCCAGTCAAAATTAATCTTAATAGTGTACTTAACTCTGTCTAATAGATCCAAGGACATCATCTGAGTGTGGCCATGTGTTCTGCATTTTAGAGAATAGTATTCTATTCAAAGAATTGTTGAGGGTAGTCCTTTTTTTGAAAGTGTCCTCTGTTTGAAGGGCTGTCCAGAGTCATACAATATAAAGATAAAAAACCAGAAGATGAGAAATCCAGAGACCTTGAAGTTGTCGCTTGACTTGATCAGATACTTTGAGGAGACAGCAGGCCATCTGGTCCCAGTCTTCCCCACTACAGTAAATTGATTTGTATTTTTCCATCTGATGAAGTGAGCTGAAATCCCACAAATCCTAAATGACATAAAACCTGTCTTTGGGACCATTCCTACTACCAAATTATAATCCCATTACTACCCTTTAAACTGTCCTAGGCTGATGCCACACTGCAGAATACAGAATACAGGCTAATCTATATTTGTAGAATTCAATTCTCTTATTCCCATAGAAACATTGTTATGGTATATTAACAACTCATACTCTGGTGGATAAAACACCCAGAATGATTCGAAAATTTATCCGGTCTACCACATTTAACATTTCCTATAGGGAAGTTGAAAACATTCAGCTTTTTCAGGAAGATCTTTGATTTACGCTAAATGATTATACTGACTAAGATTCTTCCTCTAATTGCTTCCCCATCAGTGCCTGTCATTACGTCGGTCTGTGCTGGAATTATTCACTTTTTAAAGGCCCTTCTGCCCTTAACCCAGTTTGCCATACAACACAATTTCCAATGAAATGAAATAAAAACATGAGCTATCTTTTGATTTTTCTAAAAATGGGTTGTCATTTTCTTCTTAACCATTTAGCCAGTTATCGAATAAAAAGAGGGCTCTCCACTGATTAAAGAATGATGAGTTTCTTCATAATTTGCCTCTTAAGCGTTTAGCCAATTCTGACTGAGAGTCTGCATTCGAGACATACATCTGGCACATAGCTATATCTCCATAGGCATGTCTTCTGGTACAACCCCTTACCAAACCAACCTTTTAAGTGATGCAGCACTCCCTAATATGCTCATTTCCATGTAATGGGGGCAGTGGCATTACTAGGGTTGGTGTCACCTGCTGCGGTAACTCATGGTGACTCATAAAAGCCAAGATTTCTTTGGTAGCATCATTACAGTTGGCATGACTTGGTGCAATAATTCATGGTGTCACCCCCTCCATTGACCTCCTCCCATACCACACCATACGTGTAATCCTTAGTTATGTTACTTATAAATCGTAATTCCCATGCATCACCAAATGTAATGGTAATAGTTGTGACATAACTCGAAAATTAAAATTATACCTTTAAATTACAATATCATATGCATAGCTTAAATGCATTCACATATACATAGTTTCATGTGGTTAAAGTGAAAATTTTGTAAGATGTGAAGTTTTTAAAGAAAAATTTAAAAGAATATTTTTTTAAAAAAAATTAATGTTAAATTTAACTTTTTAAAAAAACCTGGGGCCTCTCCTTTCTCCTTCCACTGAACCTTGCCTCACTCCCACTATCTCTTCAGCATTCTAAAGGGATGCAGGTGAGTTGTTATTATTATTATTATTATTATTATTATTATTATTATTATTATTATTATTATTATTTATATCCCGCCCCTCTGCAGTTCAATCAGGGCAGCTTACAATAGTAAAACATCCCAAATATACAATTCCAAGACCCACCCACCCCTTGAAACAGTATTAAACACCATACAGTTAAAACAACAACAAACAACCAAACAATTAAGCAAATAACAAAATCGTAATAGGAGGGCAGACACTGAGTGACAAATATGTAAGGGAATGAAGGAGAGCTGAGGCCAGGAAGCCTAATCAGGAAAGGCCTGCCGGGAGAGATATGTCTTTACAGCTTTCTTGAAGCTGTTTAGGTTGGTGATATGACGGATCTTGTCCAGCAAGCCATTCCACAATCTGGGAGCAATGGATGAGAAGGCCCTCTGGGAGGTTGCAGACAGCCTAGTTTTAATAGGCTGAAGCAAATTCCTCCCAGAGGACCGGAGTGCATGGGGAGGATTATATGGAAGAAGATAGGTTGGGCCCAAGCCATGTAGGGCTTTAAAGGTGATAACCAACACCTTGTACTGAGCTCAGAAGCTAATCGGCAGCCAGTGTAGTGATCTTAGGACTAGTGTTATGTGGTCTCTCCTAGATGTACCAGAGACCAGCCTGGCTGCCATGTTTTGTACTAGCTGAAGCTTCTGCATCAAGCACGAGTGTAGCCCCATGTACAGTGCATTACAGAAATCAAGACGAGAGGTTACCAGTGCGTGTACCACAGTTTGAAGATCCCTTACTTCCAGGAAAGGGCGCAGCTGGCATATCAGCTGAAGCTGATAACAGGCGCTCTTGACAGGCGCATTTACCTGATTAGTCATCTGAAGCGATGGATCCAAGAGCACCCCCAGACTGTGAACACAGTCCTTCACAGAGAGTGTGACCCTGTCCAGGACTGGAAGTTGTATCCCAATACCTAGTTTTGGGGCTGCTACTGTTAGTACCTCTGTCTTATTTGGATTCAATCTCAGTCTGTTTTTCCTCATCCAGCCCATTATTGCCTTAAGACAGTCATTGAGAGACACCATCTCCAGTCAGAGCCGACGACCAAGACATGGAGAAATATATTTGGGTGTCATCAGCGTACTGATAATACCCCGCCCCATGTCTCCGGATGATCTCTCCCAGTGGCTTCATGTACATATTGAACAACATCGGGGACAGGATTGTGGGACATCCTGCGGGACGCTGCAATTAAGCTCTTTCCTACTGGAGCAACTGCCCCCGAGCCTTCGATTCCTAACCTTCTCAGGCGATCCAAGAGGATGTTGTGATCTATTGTGTCAAAAGCTGCTGAGAGGTCCAAGAGCACCAGCAGGGTCACACTACCCCTGTCGATGCTCAGAACAAGGTCATCAGCCAAGACAACCATGGCGATCTCATCTCCAAATCCGGTCCTAAAGCCAGTTTCTGCCCAAAGGCAGGTGTTTGGAGAGCAATGGTGTCACCCCCCCCTTAGGGTGTCACCTGGTGCAGTCTGCACTCCCCTGATGACACAGAGACTCAGGAGGTCTCTGAAGATGATGTCCTTTGGTGAGTCCATTGAAAATAGCTGGATGTGTCTCCACTGATCCCCTGACTGTCCAGTGATATGGAAATGGCCCTGAATTGAAATTTTCCTTCAGTCTTCAAATTTCAAGCATTGCAGAAACTTAAAACATTATTTGAAGTTCACATGTATGGAATGGATGGAGATGATGGAATTGGCACAGCTTGATAAATTAACTAATTTGGTAAAATGGAATCCAATAGAGTCTTCTA